CTTATATACGTTACTAAACGGAAGGAAAAGAACAAAAGAAAAAGGAAAAGGAATAGTTATGTAAGCTTAGAAGCTCTGACCAATTATCACTGTGACAACAGTAAACAATCTTATGATGTCATTGTTAGGGATTATTACAAAATTTACAAAACCAATTTTTATGTTTTACCCAATAGTAAGCTTACAAGCTAAACAAAATGAAAATTAAAGATTAAATGATTAAATGATTTTTATCAAATGATTATGATTGGAATGATTTTGGGCAACTCTACCCTTCACATCCCCTCCTCGATGACTAAGAACCCAAAATTACTTCCATTCATCATCAGTTGGAATTGGTTCCATAGTCGAATCAGCAAAAGTAACTTTCTTTTTCGAGGCTTCACTTGATCCATTAGTTTGGCAACTTTGAGAAACTTTTAAAGAGCTTGCATCCATTGATCCAGTTGAATTTCTTCTTGAACTTTTTAATGAAGACGGATTATTATCCCTTTCAGCAGCTCGCTTGAATTTTCTTTCTTCTTTTCTTTCTTCCTCAAATCTTGCAACTGTTTCGGCAATCGATTCATACTTTTTGCAATCCTGAATTGCTTTAGCTTGTCTCCTAGCTCGGGCTACAGGCGATTGTGAGGACATGGCAACTTGAGCTTTTAATACCTCCAAGTTAATATTGCATCGATTTGCAACAGTGACCAACATAGCCTTATCAGGCAAAACGCAATTATCAGAAAAGACAGGGAAAGGAATTCTTCTTCTTCTTTGTGGATGAGTTCCCCATTCGGTAGGCCAAGAACAAAGACCTTTTTGCACTCCTTGATCAAACTCGTAGAGTAATGCAGCTGTAACTCTGTTACCACACGTTTGTTGAACGTTCTCATTGTGGATACCATTCCAAGTTTTAGCCATTCGTTCAATTTCCTCATGTTGTAAATAATAAAGTCGAAGGACTGTTGTCGTCTCGACTGCAGGAGAATGTGCTTTTACCGGCAAAGTGTAACCAGTAAACCAGAGGAAGGCAATTGCATTAAGATGCATCGGATGCTCAATGTAAGGTGAATAGAAGTTATTCACATCTCTCAGCTTAGGATGAAGTGCACGAACTTCATCTTTCGTGAAGCCAATATTGTCCAAATGGTTTATCAACCCATAACCAACGATTTTTGTAGCGCAGGCCAAATA